ACAAACACACACACACACACACACACACACACACACGGCTATCATAACGGCTGACAGGATGTGTGTGTGTTTGAGGAAGTGGTGTTGTGTGGAAATATTAATTTTAGGGCTTTAGTTTGTTCCTGTGAGTGTGGTTTGTGTCAAAATAATAATCCATTCTGCTGAATATCGACGTCACGTTAAGGATTTTCCAGCACATGAATCATTGAACATCCTACAAATTTGAGGGATGAATCTTTAATGCTGAAGGGAGATTGAGTTACAGAACAAGCCGTTATAACATCTGACATTTAACCTGAACGCCATTCTCACGCTCACACAACTTTCTCCATCACCATCTCAGGCCTACATTTAACTGGATCGGATATGATTAAATTAATCTAATCCTGTTTAAAAGGATAAAAAGAATCCATTTAAGTTGTGGATGTTAATTAATAAAATGCTTCATAAATGTTGTTCAAACCCATTTTCCTTTTAAGAACAAGCTCTCAGACCTCATTAGTCACCAGTGTTATTTTAGTATTATTTACTGTATACTGCTATAGTTGCTGTTTATATCTGGAATTAGCTTCTTTATATTTTCATGTTCATTTACATTGTTTTTATTATTATTAATTTTGTTATGTCATTTTAATTAGTTTTTGTTATTTTAAAATATTACTATTTAGGTTTAATTCATTTTTATTTGTATTTACTCATTTCCATTTAGTGATTTTAGTGCTTCCACTTAAAACTTATTTTAGTTTCTTGCTAAGGCAACATTTATAATTTTCATTTAATTTAAGTTTTCATTTTTTTAAGCTTTATTGCAATTAACAAACATGTTTTAAGTCTTAGTTAATGATAATAACCCTGCTTCTCGCACGATTCAAATGAAAAACATCACATTCATCAATAATCTGCAGAAAGCCATCACAAAGCCACACATCATTTACCAGGCCGCTTTTAAACGCTTTTGCACTGAAATGGTGCATTAAGGTTATTAATGTGAAAACAGTAGCAGTGCCGAGCACATATCTAGGATTGTGGGTAACAGTTGAAGAATCAGTCTTATTGGTTTGGGCTTGATGGTCCTTCAGTGTCTGTCTGATCACAGTTTGAGTCCGAAAACATGATTTCTGGGAAGTTCAGAAGAAACAGTCCAAACATTTCCTGAGAATGAGCTTTAAAGGGAAATTTCACTCAAATATCATTTACTTAAGCTGATGTCATTTCTCAAAATATCTTCTTTTGTTTTCCACAGAAGACTAGTTTGAACGACCCGAGGGCGAGTAAATGATGACAGAATGATCATTTTTGGGTGAACTGAATAACCCAGATAGCACAGGTTCGTCTGCTAGAGGTCTGTTAAACAGCTCTTCATCTGCTGTGTGCAAACATCTGACAGACGTCTCTAAGATGTCAGTTTTAAATCATAAACATCTTAAAGACATCTTCTAAACGTCTATTTGACATCTGATAGGAAACGTCCTATAGACGTCTTGCAGATGTAATGCAGAAATCGAGTCTCCGTGATGTGCTATGAGGTAATTATAGAGGAAACGCTCATATTTGCTTCTCAAACAGCATAACGCACGCCGCGACACTCACGCGAGCGTCTGACGCGCGTCACGTGCAGATCAGAGGCGCTTTCTCAAGAACTGATGTTTCTACACGAGCCACATCCTTCCGGTCAGCTTCCTTCTGCTTTCTGAGTGTGTGAGTGAGTTTGAGTTTGAGTTTGTCTTACCTTCAGTCACGAGGAACCCGACATCACCGACCGACACCTGCAGCGACAGGAGTGTGTGTGTGTGTTCGCTCAGATATCAGAAGGCACATCTTATTAGCGTCAGTGTTCATGAATTAATGATGAGGAAAATACAGTGTGTGTGTGTGTGTGTGAGTGAGTGAGTGAGTGAGGGAGGGAGGGAGAGAGAGTGTGTGTGTGAGTGTATGTGTCTGATTGTGTGTGTGTGTGTGTGTGAGTGAGTTTGAGTT